AAGGTGAATAACTAGTTTATGCATGTTTATTTACCAGCGTCTGGCCTCATCTGTCCTTTAGGTCTTCTGATGGCCGTCCCAGAAACCAGCACAGATGAAGCTCTGCCATGATAGCCCACCGGCAGCCTCAGCCTGCAGAACACCACAATAACACCTTATTTTCTATATAAAAATATAAATATATATAAATATAAATAAATATATATATATATATATATATATATATATATATATATATATATATATATATATATATATATATATATATATATATATATATATATATATATATATATATATATATATATATATATATATATATATATATATATATATATATATATATATATATATATATATATATATATATATATATATATATATATATATATATATATATATATATATATATATATATATATATATATATATATATATATATATATATATATATATATATATATATATATATATATATATATATATATATATATATATATATATATATATATATATATATATATATATATATATATATATATATATATATATATATATATATATATATATATATATATATATATATATATATATATATATATATATATATATATATATATATATATATATATATATATATATATATATATATATATATATATATATATATATATATATATATATATATATATATATATATATATATATATATATATATATATATATATAATAATTTTTTATAAATGTATTCATAACATTTTTCACAGTATACATGTGATAGTGGTCTTTATTCAAGGAACTATTGTAGATTTCTGCCTATTTTGTGGGGTCTGTGGCATCTGAAAGATTGAAAACACCTGCATTAAAGGGTTAGTTCACCAAAAAATGATCATGTACTCACCCTCAAGTGATTTCAGTCCTTACATATATATATATATATATATGTGTGTGTGTGTGTGTGTGTGTGTGTGTGTGTGTGTATACACTAGAAGACTCCTGATACCCTTCTTTATAAAAACCGCATTCATCAGGGAGTCGTTATCAACAGGCACATCATTTTGTGTACTACAGTATGTTTACTACATTAAATTAATTATATGAAAAAACAACTAATTGAATCATTTTATATTTCTGAAATATGATGCTTCTGAGGTAAGTCCTTTAACGAAAGGAAAGTCCCTCTCATTAGTGACCATCTCTCCCTCATTAGCATAGGACGTTAGTCTTGTTTTTGAATCTGCTGCTATACTGACACACAGGCATTTGTAGCTCCGCCCTCTTTTAAAAACAGCACAATCTCATTTGAATTTAAAGCGATAGTCACCAAAATGGCACAATGAGGCCTGATAGGGTCAGTTTCAATGAGTTAGAAAACATTATTTGTTTGGTATTTTGAGCTGAAACTTCACATAGTGTTGTTCACATAGGTCTCCTACCTTTAATACAACAAATTACCACAGAGAGGTTTGGAGAAACATGATGGTCAGCAAGACTGAATTTACACTTCCGGGCGCCCGTTTCTTTAACATTTCACATTAAAATCCTCACCTGGAGCACAAAACCCCAGCAGCTTTAAACCGCATGTAAATCAAAAATACAGATTTTCCTCCAAACTAGTTCTCTCATTTCTTTCCCGAAGAAGTGACATGTGTAGTAAAAAGCCCGGCGTAGATTGACTGAGCCGAGGGGAACTTAAAGGTGAAATTCAATTTAAAAAAAAAAGGGAAAAAAAAACTCCCTCTTCTATTTTCTTCTATTCCATACGAGTCCTTGTTCTGTCTTCAGGTGAATGACTCCCTGTCTGGGCCTCGAATGCGAAGAATCTGACAAGAAATACAGTTCTGTTTTGGAGGGAAGAGTTACTGCTAAAAGACGTTTTTCACAGGGTGCTAGAAAACGTGCAGGTGCATTATTTAGCCTGACAGGCGTACGATTGGAGAGAATAAAAAGAGTTTTTATGGGGGATAATGTATAGGAACTTTTGTGGGGTCTTTCAAACTCCAACGCATACGGTTGCAAACTCAAAAACAAGTCTGAAATATGAAGTCAGCATATTTGTGGCGGGTAAGGAAGTGATTGTGTTTACGGCTTCAGTTCGGAGGTTAGCATTTAAAGGGATAGTTCACCCCAAGATGAAAATATGTTCACTATTTACTAACTTTCAAGTGGCTTTAAACCTTTATGGGTTTCTTTTTTCCCGTTAAACACAAAAGGAGATATTTTAAAGAAAGCTGAAAACCTGTAACCATTGACTTCCATAGCAGAGAGAATAAATACTATGGAAGTCATTGATGACAGCTTTCAAACATTCTTTAAAATATCTCCATTATGACTTTCTTTTTTCTGTTGAACACAAAAGATGAAATTTTGTACAAAGCTGAATACCTGTAACCATTAACTTCCATGGTAGGGAAAATAAATAACATGGAAGTCAATGGTTACCAGTTTCTAACATTCTTCAAAATATCTCTTTTATCAGCTTCTTTCTTCTGTTAAACACAAAAGAAGATATTTTGAACAAAGCTGAAAAATGGTAATCATTGGCATCACTAGTAGGAAAAAACAAACACTGTGGGAGTCAATGGTTACAGGATTGCAACATTCTTTAAAATATCTTCTTTATGACTTTCTTTCTTCTGTTGAACATAAAAGAAGATATTTTGAAGAATGATGAAAACCTGTAACCCTTGATTTCAATGGTAGGGAAAACAAATACTATGGGAGTCTATGGCCACTGGTTTCCAACATTCTTTAGAGTATCTTCTTTCGTGTTCAACAGAAGAAAGAAATGCATAAAGGTTTGGAACAAGAGTAAATGATGACAGAATTTAAGAGACTTGTTCCAATGTATTGCGCTCAAACAAGAACCAAATTTATAAACAACTGCAGAAAAACCTGAAGTCCAAGAGCAGAACATCAAAACAATATTAAAGAAGATCTTTCGATGAAAGATAAAAACCTGTAACAATTGACTTCCATAGTAGGGAAAATAAACATTATGGGAGTCAATGGTTACCAGTTTCTAACATTCTTCAAAATATCTTCTTTTGTGTTCAACAGAAGAAAAAACGCAAAAAGGTTTGAAACAAAAGTAAATGATGACAGAATTAAAATTTTAGGTGAACTACCCATTTAAATGACTCATTTTAAATGTATTGCACCCAAACAAGAGTTGAATTTATAAACAAGTGCAGAAAAATTAAAAGCCCAAAAACAGAGCATCAGAACAACACTAAAGAAGTTATTTTTAAAGAAAGATGAAAACCTGTAACCACTGACTTCCATAGTATTTGTTTTTCCTACTATGGAAGTCAATAGTTACAAGTTTCCAACATTCTTTAAAATATCTACATTTTGAGTTTCTTTCTTCTGTTCAACATAAAATAATATATTTTGAACAAAATGAAAACCTGTAACCATTGACTTCCATAGGAAAAACAAATACTATGAAAGTCAATAGTTACCCATTTCCAACATTCTTGAAAATATTATGTGACAAAAGAATGAAATGCATAAAGGTTTGGAATAAGTAAAGGGTGAGTAAATGATGAAAGCATCTCATTTTTGGGTGAACTGTCCATCTAAGTGACTTTTTAAAAATGTATTGCGCTCAAACAAGAGCTAAATTTGTAAATAAGTGCAGAAAAACTGAAAACCCAAAAGCAGAACATCAGAACAACACTAAAGAAGATATTTTAAAGAAAGATGAAAACCTGTACCCATTAACTTCCATAGTAGAGAAAAATAATATGGAAGTCAATGGTTACAGGTTTCAAACATTCTTTAAAATATCTCCTTTATGAGTTTCTTTCTTTTGTTGAACACAAAAGATAATACTTTAAACAAAGCTGAAAACCCTTCCATAGTAAAGAAAATAAATACCATGGGATCAATGGTTACCGGTTTCTAACATTCTTTAAAATATCTCCTTTTTTAGTTTCTTTCTTTTGTTGAACACAAAAAGATTATATGTTTTGAACACAGCTAAAAAACTGTAACCATTGACTTCCATAGTAGAGAAAATGAATACAATGGCAGTCGATGGTTACCAGTTTCTAACATTCTTCAAAATATATTCTTTGATGTTCAACAGAAGAAAGAAATGCAAAAAGGGTTGGAACAAGAGTAAATTATGACAGAATTACCTTTTTGGGTGAACTATCCTGACTTTTTAAAATGTATTGCACACAAACAAGAAAACCCAAATGCTCAACATAACAACAACATCAAAGAAGATATTTTAAAGAAAGATAAAAACCTGTAAGCATTGACTTCCATAATAGGGAAAATAAATACAATGGGAGTCAATGGTTACCGGTTTCTAATATTCTTCAAAATATCTTCTTTCTAGTTCAACAGAAGATAGAAACATAAAGATTTGGAAAAAGAGTAAATGATGACAGAATTTTTCCCTTTGAGTGAACTGTCTCTTTAAGAGGGTGAGAAATATTATTAATGGCCTGTCACGTACCAGTTGGGCATCAAGGCATTTTCTTTTCCACGGAACATTATTCCAACGTTGGTGGCGTGATCTCGAGAAGAGTAGAAGTCTGTGTAGTCGCCTGTTGGGCAAAATAAAGGAAAAGCAGGCTTTATGAGGAATAAACGTGTAGTGATAACTGTGGAAGTCAGTACTCATTCATTTTCCTGTCCCTAATTATCTGGGTTCGCCACAGGAGAATGAACCGCCAACTATTCCAGCATATGTTTTATGCAGCGGATGCCCTTTCAGCCACAACCCAGTACTGGGAAACACAGATACACTCTTACATTCACACACACTCATACACTTCGGCCAATTTAGTTTGTTCAATTCACCTATAGCGCATTTCTTGGGGCTGTGGGGGAAACCGGAGCACCCAGAGGAAACACACGCCAACACTGGGAGAACATGCAAACTCCACACAGAAATGCCAACTGACTCAGCCGGGACTCGAACCAGCAACCTTCTTGCGGTTTTTCAAAAGTGAAATAATACATCAACCTACAGTGGTGTGTAA